TCAAATTGAGTAGAAAGAGTGAAGTTTCTCTTTGTGGTAGATAAAAGAGTTAACTTGGTACATATTTCTGATGCATATCGAATTGTAAAATATCATTAAACTTGGCGTCTCTGCATGGTTAAGCTTTTTAACCCTTTCACACCGACTGTCACAAATACGTGCCAGCATAAAACCGTATCAATCAGGGTAAAAAGATAAAACTGGTAATCAAAGTATTTCTTTAGCAGTTTATTTGTGGGCGGAGTTATAATTGTTTGATTTATTTAATTCACCATTACTTTGTTCAAAATAAAACTATTTAGTTATACTTTGAATTAATATTGATTATATATGTGATTAAACTAACAATAATTAAAGTAAAAGCAAAGTAAGTCTGTCAAATCAGCAAGGACTACATTTGAGTTATCGTTTTTTATTTAATTACAACTTGATTCTGATTTTGTACGAATGCTTTTCTGAATTACCCGTCCCCAAGGAGTTAAGAGATGTTGAAAAGTAAGAAACAAAGAAATCTAATGTCATTGAAATTTTAAAATTTACTTTTTGTTCAACTTACTTGCTGTTTTATTACAAACAAATTGTCAACAGCATGCCAGCTAGGGTTGGACTGGTCATAGACCTGAAACTACAATCGTCCCCTGGGCCCAAGTTACCATAGTGGGGCATCTTTGAAAATTACGCCCCTTGGGTACCATATTCATTAAAATAAAATCAATTTTTAAATCAAAGATAAGAAGTAGCACTCTAGTTTTTTGAAGTAAAAAGCGATTTCTGAAATAAGTCAACCGGATACATCTCGATTTCCACGGTGACCGCGGAAATCGAGATATGGAAGTCACAAACTAAATGTTACATTCTAGCTTGGCGTTATTCTCGTCGTCGTTTTAAATAGCGGTTACGTGGAAATCAACACATACCGCTAAACGTTCGTATTTTTCCTAGTCACTCTATCTAGTGATGATTGTAAGAAATAAAAGCTTAATTATTCCTTATTTGTAGATAAAAATATAACTTGCTTTTTGTGCAACCAGCCCACTGTTAAAATAGATTTTGCGCTTTTTTTTTCTTCTTTTTTTTCATGTAGAGTAGGTAATAAAATACGGGATTCTTTTTTATTTAAGTTCGATTTTCAATTTTTTTTTTCCTCATTTAAGTTCGAAAGTGAGAAGATAATTATTTCTCCATTTTAAAATTATTTTATTCATAGTAACATATCTTTTTATTTTATGTCCCTTCAATAGTATTTTATCCTTTTAATATTATTTAAACTACCAAATTACTACTGTAGATGGAGCTTAAAAATATGTAATATTTTGTAGCATTTTTTCAGATAAAGTTGTAGTATTTTTTAATTTCAAAGTCTGGCAACCTTGTTTGTAGTTATTTACCGTTTGGCCAGACGGGCAAGCCATGTAAAATTAGCGAGGCATTCAACGTGTTAATTTCAGCTTGTTTCATCAATATGAATAAAATATATTTCGTAGAACTTTTTATAAGGAATTAGATTTTGAAGACATGGAAGCACGTCACTATTTAAATTATTATGAGGACTAGAGCATCTCAAATCTAAAACATCTAAGCCTAGAGCTTATGAGATGTCAGCCTCAACAGTTTGAGCCCCCTTTCGAAAAATTATCGAGAAAAAATGTCAGGAGGGTTAAAACAAAACTATTTCAACGCAAAATTATTCTTGAACTTTGTGTTTATGAATTATAGAACAAAATTACACACTTTTTTCCAGTAATATATTTTATAGATAACGCTGGTATGAACTAAGAAAAATAAATTCTATAATTTTTTTTCCTCGCATTAAACTTTCTGCAAAAAGACTTTTATAAGGTCAATAAAAAGATAAGGATTTTTAAAAAATGAAAATTAAATATTTGGCTTGTTAAATTTTTATTAAATATTTAGCTTAAATATTGGCTCTCATAACATTACTTGACTCATGTCACTAGGAATTTTTTCGCTAGTGACTTTTGACTGTTTCGCTTTAATTAAAATTTTATGAGTTGTAAGTAATACATTTAATTAGGCTTATATTCTAGCAATGAAATTTTAGTAACATATGTTAGAGAAAAACATGGAATAACATTTTGTTGTTTAATGACATGCAGTACAATTACCAAGTTTAATAATAAAAGTATCTCATATTCGTTCCTTAAGTAGGTGGAGAATTAAGAATATCATAAAAAGTAACGCCTACTTTTATTTCAGAGCTTTATTCCGAAATACGAAGTCACCAAACTGGACACCAAATTAATAAAATATCGAAAATTTTGTTGATTTTTTAAATTAAAAATAGCAGTTGGAAGTTTTGGGATATAAAATTAATGTCGTTAAAAAAATTCTAAAATTTAGGAAAATTACTGGAGGGGCAAGTGCCCCCAACGACTCTACACCAATGAAAGTAGGAGATGCTTTTCATTGTTCGAAACGAAGATGCTATTTTTAGTTCTTTCTCAATGTTTAAGACCCATGTACGTTATCAAATATATTTTTAAAATTAGGCGTTACTTTTCTTATTTCACCTTACAATTTCGAGTAAAGATCTGAACCAAACGCATGAGATGCTGTTTATTTTACAAAAGGAACTCGCAATACTTGAATCTGCCTTCGATGATACCTACAGCTCTGAAAGGTATTAGGCATATTTCACAAAAAGTAGGCGTTACTTTCCACACAATTCCGAGTACTGTACAGAATGTGATGCTTTTCGTTGTTCTCAATGAAATCAGGCCTGAAAGCGAGACGGAAAGGAGAAAATACTGGTAGGGAAACTATTTCAATATTAGATAACATTTGGGAGGAGTTTGTCTATTCTCAACAATAGCACTGTAAATAATTTATTCTCAGCGAAGAAGCAATTCAATACAAAAGTTGTATCCCTTAATAAAAATTGGTAGTTATAGATTTTTATTATTCCCGAAAAAAAGGTAAGAAATAAAATTTATTTGTTACCAGTCATTACTCTTTTCCGTCTTTATATATATATAGGCTTTCAGCCCTGGAATTATTCAGCATAGAAAAACTATACGAAGCAGAAAAGTTGAAAAATATGCTTTATTTTAATTACCGGTAAAAGTTTTTTCACATAGATGTAGTTTTTATACAGACTACTCTTCTCTGCGACAAATTTATAGCACAAATTTCGATTCGACCTAATTCGATTGGATCTTGTTACAAACGGTGTGTAAAAACTAATTTTTTCTCTCTAATTTTAATGAAATATAAATATATAAGTTTCTAAACCTTTTTCAAACAGGTACAATTAAATCACTTGACCCAAGCAATAGTAATTGTTACAGATGGATGGCAATTCTATTTTAAAAAGACACTGCGTAATTTTCACGCATACCGTTTACGTCGTAAAAATAAATATTAATGCACAGCGGGGTTCATTTTCAGAATAAAATATGTATGAAAATAATATAAAATAAATTCTTCTCCTTTTAAGATTGCTGAAATATCTTTAGATATTTTGCCTTTTGATGAAACAAAATCCTTTTTTTAGTTACAACAACAAAGGATTTGTGCTAGGTAATTAATATAGAAAATTATCAGATGCTTTTTTTTTTTTTTTTCATCTTCTGGTTACTTATGTTTCTTTCTATATAAATACACTCGGAAACAAATGTTTTGTTGCAATTTTGCTTTTAATTAAAGTACCTGATCTTACATATTTCGTTTGGAAAAATACAGATGTATATCAAAATGATATTTAGTTTAGCTTTTTGGATGAATATTTAAAAACATATGACGTTAAAATATCGCGTCTTAAATTGAGATATAGTATCGCCTACTTCCTTACCCACCCTACGTATTCCGAAAATGGGGACACTTAGTATTCATTTGAATAAGTTAAAAAAGTTCTCGTTTGGAATTGAATATGATATGGTGCTCCACTCAACAAGTGGTTCATATTTGGAAGGAAAAAAACTGCATTTTTTGTACTTAAATGGTTTAAAAATATTAAGACACCACATAAGAAACTATCTATTCATTTCTTCACTAAGCAGAATATTGTGAACAATAAAAAGATAATTGGGATTGTTTAAATATTTTTATCAAGCATCTGATGTTGTAATCGGATCATGATTAAAATAAAATATTAAAATTGTTTTCAATTAACTGTTTTGAAGGATTTAAATTGACAACATTTTGATTTCTTAGAGTTAAAACATTTATATAGAAGCATATTCTTTTACAATGATCTTCTACACTCAGAGATTGCTCGACTTTGTAAACATGTGTTTTCTTGTAGTAACGAAATTTATGCTATTCTCAGTTCAGAATTTTTCATTTTAAAAGTACTTCTTCCCAAAAAATCATATCAAAAATGCAAAGCATCATATGAAATGCAACTTTACTGTATTTATTTCATGGTTACCCAAGGGTGGGCGTAATTATTCTTAAATTTTCTTTATTTAATGTGCTACCAATTTCTTAATGCTACAATTCTTTGTGCTACCAATTAATTTATTTAATGTGCTACCAATTTGTTAATAAAAAGTTTAAGCTTGAAATGAAAAATATAGCAACTTGAGAAGACTAAAATATGAATTCAGTTNTGAGATCAGATTTTCACTGTAATATCATTATGAAAATATTAGTAACGAGAAGAATTATGAGTTTTAATTTAATATCTTATCTGAGATAAAAGCTTTGATTTTGTTATTTTAACATTTTACAAGAATTAAATAAGGTCCCATATTAGTTATTAAAAACCATACTACTAAATTGCGTACTGCGATATACATTATTAAAAATTATCTCTTTCCATAAGAATGACTCAGTATAAAGATTAATTTTTTTAATTGACTACATTAAAAATTGATAATATAGATTAATTTTACTAAAAACTAATTACAGCGATTAATTTTACAATAAAAATACTATATCGATTAAATTAACTAAAAACTAATCATATCGATTATTAACAAAAGCACTTAATCGATTAATTTATACCAAGTTTTATAAATAAAAACGATTAATCTATATAAAATATCGATTAAATCTATATCGAAATAATAACAGTCACTGCTATTTGTCACTGTTACTTTTGGGTCCCAGCAGTTTTGCCCATCTCTACAATAGTCACGCCTCGGTAGAACCTCATTGGCTATGACACTGCCTCTGCGCAAAGCTAACGATTGTTGAAAATTGGTAATACTTATAAACTTAATTTATCTAATATATTGGTAGCATTTAGAAATTAAAAAATTTTGTTTATTGTATTGATATTTTTTGTTCTCCAAATAAATCAGATAATCTGAAATCTGTGTTTTTTAATTTAATGCCATTATTTTTATCTAATATTTATGATGCACATTAGTCGGAAACTGGTCTTGTCATGTTCTTCATTGTTCTTTCTATGCACGTTTCCCTACCTTTTATATGGCTTTGCGAATGAGCTATCACGGTCTTGCAAATTTAAAATTAATTAAATCCAACACGCTTGGCAGCATATTTACGTTTATGTAAAAATTTGATAATTTTTTTTTCATTTGATTTTTTGACAATCTCAAATTTCATTTTTTAAAATATATAGATTTTGATATTAGTTATATGGAGGGTGGTTTTTGTTAACATAGGGAGAAAAAAAATTTCTTCGAATCTTTAAATGCACTCTTAAAAGGTATCATTCGGTATTAAATTACATCCCACAAGCTTTTCAGTATATTTACGTTTATGTGCATATTTGATAATTTTTTTAGATTGATAAGTTTTTTTTTTCATTTAATTTTTTGAGAATCTCAAATTTCCTTTTTTTTTTTTTTTTTTTTTTTAACATTTTAAAGTTAGTTATATGGAACGTGGTTTTTATTAACATAGGGCAAAAAATTGTCTTCGAATCTTTCAATGCACTCTTAAAAGGTATCTTAGTATTAAATTAAATCCCACAAGCTTTTCAGTATATTTACGTTTATGTACATATTTGATATTTTTTTTATTTTTTGAGTCATTTGATTTTCTGAGAATCTCAAATTTCTTTATATATATATATATATATAGATTTTGATATTAGTTAAATGGAAGGTGGTTTCTATTAACATAGGGATAGACAAAAAATTTTCTTCGAATCTTTCAATGCACTCTTTAAAGGCAGAGATGCCAACTGCTCCAGGCACGCCAAAATAATTTTTAAAAAAAACGGTAAATAACTACAAAATAAATTTTGCAGATTATTTTTGCTTGCTTTTTAAGAGGTATAGCATGACATAAGTACTTAGACTGATTTCTTTTTCGGAGTACTTGTCCGCGAAGCGGACACTCCACTCCTTCATCATGATGTAGTGCCCGTAGGCGTCTGAAGTACTATCGTTAGCAAGAGATACTAGAAGAAGCTTTGGTCGACGCAGGTTTATACTCTGTGTCTGGCTTACTAAATGTGAGATTGTGGATCAATAATAGATTGAGAACTGATTAAGAGTGGGATAAGTTAGGTAAAATACTAGGGGTGGATACCCCCGAGTCAGCGATCACATGAAGGTCCTTTCACCTCTCTGGGAGTATCCATGGTAATTATAATAGGGGGGGGGATTATTTTATTTATAATGCTTTGAGAGGATGCAATCTGATAATAAGAACGAGGTAATTGGATTGTGCTGTATCATACCTGGTAGTAGATCCTTATTTAAGAGTTCATTAAAGCCTACTGGATCTGGGTCTTTGCTAATATATTCGCTGATGGTATTTAATTTCAGATCATTTCTGATAGCATTATTTGCTAGATTGTATGGAGCACCGGTGATACGTCTCAGTAGCTTGTTTTGGGTTGTTTCAAGCTTTTTAGTTGAGTTTGGTTTATACATCCCCAGGCAGGGCATGCGTAAGTTAATATAGGCCTTATACACATTGTGTAAAGCGTTTTTTTTTTTTTTTTTGAGATTCAGGGGTAGTGGAGAACTGGAGTTAATGATTGGTCTCAGGCAGCTATATGCAGCATGAGCCTTATTGATAAGTTTTTTAACTTGCAGGTTCCAAGTTAGTTTGTTGTTGAGAGTGAGGCCTAGGTAGTCAGCCTGGTTAACTATAGGGATGATTTTATCAAAGAGAATAACATTATTATTGATGTTACCCTTATTCTTTTTTCGGCTGATCAGCGTTAGTTTGGATTTCTCTGCGTTAATCAGGATTTTATTGTCCTCACACCATGTCTCTATAGTTGGCATAAGATTGTTCAGATTTATTACAGCTTGGTTAGCATTTAAAGATCTAATGGCCATGGCCGTGTCATCGGCATAGTATGCAATCATTTGGTTGATTTGATTATTGCAAGAGGGAAAATCATTTGTATAGATTGAATATAGGATCGGACCTAAGATACTACCTTGCGGTACACCCGCATGAATATTCTTTTTAGTAGAAAGTTGATTGTTCAGTCTTATTTGAAAAGTCCTATTGCTGAGGTAGGAGTCAATAATTTTAATTATATTGTAAGGTAGATTTTGGTTGATAAGTTTAGTTATTAGAGCTTTATGCCAGACGCGGCCAAACACTTTTTCCACGTCTAGCATAAGCAGGGCAGTGGATTCTTTCTTAAAGATGCCGTCGCTGATAAAGTCAATTAAGCGGATCAGCTGCTTTGTGGTAGATAGTTTCTTCCTGAATCCATATTGTTCTTTCGGCAGAAAGGTTAGTAGTGGTTCAAGTCTGTTGAGAATAATTCTTTCTAGAATTTTTCCCAGTGTGGGAAGCAGGCTAATAGGGCGAAAATTCTCAGGATGTCTTGAATCTTTGCCTGGTTTCGGAAACAAAATGATGATAGTATTTTTCCAATTTGTGGGGAAAAAATTCAGGTTATGGCAAGCATTGAAGATGTTCATGATATCATTGAGCTTATTTAGTGGTAGTTGTTTAATCATTCGATTATTAATATTATCTTCACCAGGAGATTTTCTGTTACTTAGTTTTTTAATAATATTGTTTAGTTCATCTTGATTAACATTATCAATGGGATTGCGGCTGTTGTTGCTGATAAAGTAATTTTTATATATTAAGTTGATCTACTCATCGGCATTGTTATTACTGGGGAACGTATTTAATGAGAATTGTTTCTCTATAGTACCTGCAAATATTTTGATTTTATCATAGTCGCTATAAATGTTTCTATTATTGAAAATAATAGGTTTGCTTATAACTTTAGTGGTTTCAAGTGACTTGGACATTTTCCAGATAGTCTGATGGGTAATGCTTAGGTTCGCAACTTTATCATGCCAGTTATTTTTGCGATGGTTAACACAAAGTTCTTTAATTTATTTTATAAGTTTATTGAGTTCTCTTTTATCAGTAGGATTTCTATACTTTTGCCATTGTTTTCTTACATAGTTTTTATAGTGAATATTCTCTTTAATGTCTCTTGGTAGCTTTTGATAATTATCAGCATCTTTTATAGCTGTAGTGGCATCGTTTAAAGCATTTTGGATTTCATTAGTTAGTTGGTTGATATTATTTTCAACGTCTGACTCATTATTTGGCAGGGGGTATTCACTCTGTTCAGTAAGTATATTGTGGAAGAGGTTCCAGTTTATTCTCTTTGCATTAGTGGTGTTTTCCATTTGATGTGTGCCTATAACAGCAATGACCGGTGTATGGTCGCTGGATAATTCAGTAACTGTGTAGCAGATTTATATGATTGTTTACAATGAAAATATCAAGGAGATCAGGCTGATGGTGGATGTTGTGCGGGAAGTAGGTTGGCTCGGTGGGGGCAACAACAGTGAGGTCTTGCTTTTTAATAATGCTGTGAAGATTTTTGCCATTTTTATTATTGACTCTGACACCCCATATAGTATTTTTGGCATTTAGGTCGCCGCCAAGCATGCAGTTTATGTTATTTGAGAGTAGGGAATTAATTTCATCTTCTGTAATGATGTTGCCTGGTTTATTATATAGTGATGTAAACTTGATAAAGTCTTTATTATTTTTATAGAGCAAGATTGAGGTTTCTTCGAATCCATCTTCGATCAGATGTCGTTTTAGGTTCAATTGGCTCTGGGGGTTGTAACTTTGTCTCGGCCGCTGGCTCCTTCTCCTTCGTCTGGTCAATAGCTGTTGGAGTAGTTTGGGAGTCTTTCCCTGCTGATATCTCATTTGGTGTGGTGGGAGAAGGCTTTGCTTTTCTGGCTTTCAGGATCTTGATTGCTTCTCGTGCTCCAGCAGCGAGTACTTGATAGTATTCATCATTCGCTGCTAGAAAAATCTCTATGTAGATGTTCTTCACTCTGTCAATTTTATCGATATCGATCGTTATGGATAGTAGATGATCTGTAATATCAAAGTAGTCATAATATCTTTGCGGTAGATACCGTTTATCTAACGAAGGTGCTACATCAATAGAGGAGACTCGTGAGCGGCTGGAAGGTGAACCTTTCCGCCGCGGGCAGTTCGGTGATACGGCATGATTCGCACAGAGCTAGACTCAACACGTCCGCACTCTGCAAAGGCTTGAGCTGGAATTGGTGGTGTCTCAAGCAGGTAGTATCACAAGCAGGTGTCTCAAGCATTTTTTTTAGTAAAGAATATGTTCGGTTTAAATATAAAATTCATATATATGAATATATATGAAATCATATCTATGTCGTAACCAGTCATATATATGAAATTTAAGCTGTAGTGGTATATACGATTGCGTAATTAAAAAGATGATAAATCAATACAAATAACGTTTCAATTATTTTTAACCTTATTAGACACCTGTGGCATCTCTGTGTGTTGCAATCTGTAACGTCAATGATAGTTTCCAAGGCACCAAATGGATATTAATCTTTCAAATTGTTTTTAAAAGAAATATAGAGGTAACTACGAGTTATATCTTTCAAGTTGTTACTTTTCTGAAATGTTTCTTTTCTTCGTATTTTTTTTCTTTCTATTTTTCATTAATTTGAGGAATACTACATGGAAATTGCCAATTCTAGGCTATTATTCTTCCTCAGATCAACATACAAAGAATTTCAAAAGCAAAATTTAAAATAAATAAATTAATAAAATACGTTTTTTCCCCGCTTAATTTCAACACACCTTAGGAGCACGCCTATTCTATTTAATCTTTTCAATCAATAAAGTCTCTCACAAATGAGAAATATATGGCGCAATTATTATTGTTATTTACAGAAGAATAAGTTTCTACTAACTTCGCGCGTCGC